TCTATTAACAGGTTGCATTCCTCCTGAAATATATATTTTGGCTTGACTTCCTTGTTTTTAAAGGAGAAGGCAGGCAACAACTATCTTTTAGGGGGATGTCCAGTAAGTTCTGGGTTATCTTCATATGAAAACTGGTACAGGTTTGGCAAACCCATTTTGAAGTGTGGTCAAGATGACAAAAAAACTTAACAGCGGAAAACAGAGAAGGAGAGGCGGCAGGATTTTGATTTTGCCTGAGGCTACTGCCTTAGTAGCTGCAACAGCCAATAAAACCCATACAATTTGAGTCACAAAAATCTTACAAAAGCAAGCAACTAAAACTACCCCCCAAAAGGCAAAGTTTCTTGTAATCACCCTGGCAGAGAGAAAACTTTCCATTCTCTAACGTGTGAATGGAGAGCGAAATAAGCAAATAGAATCATAGAATCATAGAATCAAAGAGTTGGAAGAGACCTCATGGGCCATCCAGTCCAACCCCCTGCCAAGAAGCAGGAATATTCCATTCAAATCACCCCCGACAGATGGCCATCCAGCCTCTGTTTAAAAGCTTCCAAAGAAGGAGCCTCCACCACACTCCGGGGCAGAGAGTTCCACTGCTGAATGGCTCTCACAGTCAGGAAGTTCTTCCTCATGTTCAGATGGAATCTCCTCTCTTGTAGTTTGAAGCCATTGTTCCGCATCCTAGTCTCCAGGAAGCAGAAAACAAGCTTGCTCCCTTCCTCCCTGTGGCTTCCTCTCACATATTTATACATGGCTATCATATCTCCTCTCAGCCTTCTCTTCTTCAGGCTAAATATGCCCATTAAACCAGTCCTTATAAACACACACACACATATCCTAAGAGCACTGCTAGATCAGTGACAAAGTGCCAGGGAGAATGTTGTACCCACTCCACCCAAGTCTGTCCTTCAGGATCCTTTTCAAAACTCACATTGTTTAATTTTCAGCTTCTCTCATTAGTAATCTACTGCCATCGTATCCTAAAATATTTCTTCCTCTTCTGCTTCAATAGCCAAGCCAAACAAACAGATTGATGAAATGTATTAAAGCAGATTAAAACATGTTTATATAAGCTTGTGGTTACAGTTTCTTACACTTTTTAGTTTATGCCTGATTGTATCAGATCCAAACCCCTGCCTATCTACCCTCCACACCAGAACCACTTTCAAAGCTAAGCTTCATGCCAACTGTAGCTTCTGACCTTCCATTTTCCAATATCACCTTCTCAGCATCCAGCACATGATAAAGATATAGTATAAAATTACTGTCATGCTATTTGTACAAGGTGGACATGAAACAATTTTTTTTCTATACTTGGGTCCCACGTTCAAGATATCTCATTATTTATATGCACATATAAAGGAATTCTGAAATCTGGAAAAATCCAAAACACTTTTGGTGCCAAATATTCTGAATAAGGGATACACAGGTTCAAATACATGTTACTATAACTGCTCGATAAGTTAAACTTTTCCAAGCATGCAAAATAAGTAACTTGGCCAACTTTATTTATTTATTTTGCATCAAAAGCATTGCATAAACTAGTATAAAAGCTGATAAAAATAGAAAGAGCACAAGCGGCTAAATATCTTTTGACCAAAAAAGGGCAATGGCAACCGCATTGTCTGTAGCCTCAAACAATTCTTCCTCTAAGGATGCTTGCCATAGATGCAGGCGAAACGTCAGGAGAGAATGCCTCTAGAACATGGCCATATAACCCAAAAAAACCTACAACAACCCAATTCTTCCTCTATACATGAGGCAGGACATTGGGGACAAGGATAAAGATGCGGAGTTGTCTGTTCTGCTCCACAGACGCACAAGGTGGAGGATTCTTTTAGGTAGTGCCATTTTGCCAGGTTGTCTTTTGATCTGCCCACTCCACTTCTGAGTCTGTTCAGGGACTTCCAAGTTGCCCATTCTTGGTTTGCCCCTGGAGGAAGACCCTTGTGGGGGGGGGGGCGTCTGCCATGAAATCTACCTTTGAGACGACAGGGTCGAAGCCTGCATGACAGTGGCTGTCATCTTGGAAGGCAGGCAGAGCAGGAGGAGGAGTCAAGCCAACTCCTGATTGGGTATAGCAACTGGGGGAGGAGTCAGTTGTGAGAGGGAAAATAAGCTGTCAGCTTTTGACAGAGAGGGGGGAGAAGTGTCTTAACATCAGACAGGGAAAGAAGTGATTTTTTGAGGAGAGGAAGCTAGATAGAGCAGGGATCTGACAGAAAAGGAAGAGCTTTTAGTGACAGGGAAAGAAGTGATTTTTAGGAGAGGAAGCTAGATAGAGCAGGGATCTGACAGAAAAGGAAGAGCTTTTAGTGAGCCTTAAGTTTAGGGAATAGGCTGAGACAAAAGGCTAGGATTTTACTGTGTTGTGAGAGCCAGTAAAAGAAAGATTTGTCTCCTTATACTAGGGACAGTATAGGGGAGCTTATTGCCCTGTGCAGACAGGAGTCTGTTCTCAACTGATACTGTGTCTAAAGATAGAACAGTATGTTTAAGGAGTCTCACAGTTGTTAAAAGCTTTTCTGTCAGGGGAACTATTTGTTTAAGTAACCAAGTTTCTGCAACTGAATCACGCTTCTGTACCACTCATTTCTATGAGTTGTTGTTAATATAAAGTTCAATAAACTCTTTCTAGTTAACTTTTAACTGGTGTATGCCTCAATCCATCCATTTCCTCAGAACTCACTCTGTCAAACCCATTTTAAAGTCCAGTCATCCAGTGAAGAAACAATAGAAGAACAAGAGCTCAAACACCCCTTACCTATAACACATTCACACCTTTGGTTCCTCAGGCCAATAATTCTGAGGTGGTGGTGGCTAATACTACCAAGAACATTCGGTCATTTATAATATTTTTATTCTCCCTTGCCTTGAGGGGCAGAGGTGAGATTGATTGTTTGTCCACCCTGCCTAGATATCCTTTAACTTTGCTATAGCGTCTAATTGGGATTTCCTGGTTTAACTGCCCAGAGGGATGCTTTTGCTGTTGCTGGGGGAATATTAAGAGGAGTGGTGGTTCTCATGAAACTGGATCTCTCCTGATAGCCTCCAACTTGGGCATTAAAGTTGCCACCATTCCTACTTTCACAAGAGGTACTGACACAACAGAAATCAAGTTCTGAAAGGACATGTTCTCTCCACCCAACCACTGACTGCCTCTGTTCTTTCATACTTGCACATAATCCCTGGATGTGAACCACACAACCATCCATATCATGTTGGACTGCAGCACTTATTAGCCCTAGCCAACATAATCAATGATAAGGAAGGCTGGGAGTTGTAATCCAATCTGATTCTTGCTTGGAGTCTATTAAAATTGAAAGCTATCCACAAGCAGATGGTCATCTCCACAATAATGTAGCATATTTACTATGTAATGCATTTTGTTTGTACGCATATGCCTCTACTAAAAAGCCATCTCATTCTGCCTTTCCCTTTCTTGATGTACTTTATAAAAGGAAAATATTCCCATGCAGTGCTAAGACATTACACAAAGGCTAATAACAGAAGAAGAAGAAGAAGAAGAAGAAGAAGAAGAAGAAGAAGAGGAGAAGAAGAAGAAGAAGAAGAGGAGGAGGAGGAGGAGGAGGAAGAGGAGAGGAGGAAGAAGAAGAAGAGGAGGAGGAGGAGGAAGAAGAGGAAGGAGGAGGAGGAAGAGAAGAAAGGGAGGAGGAAGAAGAGAATAAATTTGTCACAAACATTGACTTAAATCAAGACATAGTTTTCTTAGATCTACAGAGACACTCGCTGGAACACCTCAGCAAGCGAGAGTCCAAAAGTGGCAGGCTCAAACCCAGAACCTCAATCAATGGCTGATACCAAATGAGAGACTCCCCCCTGGGCACACAGAAAACTGGGCGACTTGGAAGGCACTGAACAGACTGCGCTCTGGCACCACAAGATGCAGAGCCAACCTTAAGAAATGGGGCTACAAAGTGGAATCCACGACATGCGAGTGTGGAGAAGAGCAAACCACAGACCACCTGCTGCAATGCAACCTGAGCCCTGCCACATGCACCATGGAGGACCTTCTTGCGGCAACACCAGAGGCACTCCAAGTGGCCAGATACTGGTCAAAGGACATTTAATCAACTACCAAGCTTGCAAACTTTGTGTTTTGTCTGTTTGTTTGTTTAAAAATGCAATGCAACTGTTTGGCTTGCTCCTGACACGATAAATAAATAAATAATTATGTCATTATGGATTTACTGTCCATGACAACAGGGTTCCTAAGAAATACATATTTTATGATGCGCCACGACATTGGAGAGACATGGGCAAGTAGAAATGACATTATTTAACCCTAACAATTATATAATTTTTTTTTTTGTCTCAGAGATACATCTGTAGGGATGTGCGCCGCACACAAATATGCCTTGCATCCAGGAACATACCTAGAAGAAAGACAACAGTGGAAAATAGGAATTCTGGAAATGAGATGACATACTCCAAGCAATTTCAGAAGCCAAAGAGCAGTATGCACTCGTGTACAGGCAATACTCAAGAGACCAAGGATTACAGATTGTGTACTTTTGAGATAAACAGACTGATGGTATACATAGTCTCCAATATTGCATGAATTAGGACTGGAATGTGTAACCAAACAGCACATATTAGGACAGACTGTAGTACTAGTTTGTTTTTGCCAGAGTTTACAGGGAAGGGCCAAGTGCTGCTCTTTTCTCTCCACTTTCTGCTGCCAAGTTAACTGAGTACAAGTTATTTTTTGTACTTTGTAGCCATAGAAGTAATCTGCAGATACAGAAGAAAATTAGGTTAGGAGAAACATGGAGATGCTTAAACTGAAAGACCAGAAGGTCAATTGGAAATGTCTCAGCCAATTGGAAGAGATCAAGAGTAAGACTTCAAATCACTATAAGACAGTCTTGTGCCTGCGACTCTTCAATTCTTCTGTTCCTTCTTTAGGCAATTGTGGGATTGTCAGCCTTTCTGGCCTTTTGTATTTCCAGATGTCACACTTGGATCCTGGGTCTTACCTCGATCATTTTGAGTTCTTCGACATCTCGCCCCATTACAGAGAACTTCTCCACCGAGGCATCTGCAAATTCATCCTGTCCTTCTGGAAGATCGAGCCATAGACGGTCTGTGCGAAGTTTCGGCGGTCCCATAATGATGAGGTAAACTCGACTGTCGGTGTCAGAACCCAATTCGCTCCCTGTGGTGATGATGATGTGGTAAGGAATCACTGAAAGACAGGGGAAAAGCCAATGAGGCTGGTAAGGCCAGAGAGGAATCTCAGTGGAAGAGCGCAGGTACCTGCATGCTGATTCAAACCATCTCTAGCTGAAGCATGTCAAATAACAAACAATGGGAAAGACTTTGGCTCATGACTCTATGGAGCCATGTTAGACAATATTAGGTTAGGTCAATCATCATGTATAAAGCAGTTTTTATATATTCATATGATATCGACAGACAAAGGAGAATATATAATATGGGGAAAATATTGTATATAAAAGTTTAAGATTTATACAACTGGTTCAAAGTTTAATTTTTACATAATTGATTATTTTCAGATTTGATTAATGTGCCGTCACACCCAGACACTATAAAGTTAAAACTAAGATGTGCATCTCTCTTTATCTGGGAGAACCGCGGGTGCCTTTCTTATAAGTTCATGATTCTCAGCAACTGAGGCCAGTACAGATTTCAACATCAAAAGAACATTTATTTTTCAAAGTCCTTGACAGACTTGGCACAACTAGATGAAGTTACAAACAAAACAGTCAATTTGGGAAACCATGTAGATGTTCTTTCTTTCCTTTTTCCTTCAGTTACCGAGTTAACTTTTCTCCAATGGTAGAAAAATCCTGGGATCTTTTACCCTAACCCTGAGCTGTTATCTTTCAGAAAGAGCAGGTCTTCCCCTATCTAAGCTCAAGATTAGTTTTGGAGATTAAGTGATGGAGCCTTTCTCAATGGCAGAGAAATCCGGAGATATTCCCTACCCCAGCACTGAGCTACTGTCCTTTAGAAAGAGCAGGTCTTTCTCTATCTGAGCTCAGCTCCAGTTTCTAAGGTGAGAGGGTGACTTTAACCTTAGCCTCAACCCTCAATCTCAATCGTACTCACAATGGCTTGTCCGAGCTGCCTAGCTTGGCCACCAGCACATCTGAGGCTTTTTCTATACTAAAGAAGGCAGGAGAGCTTTCCCAAAATGGAGATCTCATCCCCAGGAAAAAAAGGCGGTCTCTAGACCAAAATGATACTTTTTTAAACCAATAGCTGCAAAAGGCTTGCAGGCTGGCTTCCAGCCTCTGTTAATGTTTGACTATTAGGGTGTTGCTAAGACTGTAGCAACCCTGGGGGGAAATGCAAAGGGATGCTATTTCAAGCAACTAAAGGGCAAAGCAAACCAAGCTCCTGGAAGATGGAACAATTAATATGGTCTTTCTCTAAGAATTTCTAAATCCCCCAGTGCAACTTTAAGGTCAACTTCTAATGGAGGTTGACCATAAAGTTACACTGGAGGATCTAGGGCAGTGGTTCTCAACCTTGCTAATGCCGTGACCCCTTAATGCAGTTCCATATGTTGTGGTAACCCCCAACCATAATATTGTTTTTGTTGCTACTTCATAACAGTCATTTTAGTACGGTTATAAATCGCAATGTAAATATCCGATATGCGGGATATATTTTCATTCACTGGAATAAATTGAGCACAAATACCCAATATGCCCAAATGTGAATGCTAGTGGGATTGGGGGAGAGGATTGATTTTGTAATTTGGGAGTTGTAGTTGCTGGGATTTATAGTTCACCTATAATCAAAGAGCATTCTGAACTCCACCAGCGATGGATTTAAACCGAACTTGGCACACAGAACTCCCATGACCAAGAGAAAACACTGGAAGGGTTTGGTGGGCATTGACCTTGAGTTTGGGAGTTGTAGTTCACCTATATCCAGAGAGCACTGTGGACTCAAACAATGATGGATCTGGACCAAACTTGGCACGAATACTCAGTATGCCCAAATGTGAACACTGGTAGAGTCTGGGGGAAAATAGACTTTGGCATTTGGGAGTTATAGTTGTTGGGATTTATAGTTCACCTACAATCAAAGAGCATTCGGAACTCGACCAACAACAGAATTGGGTTAAACTTCCCACACAGAATCCCAATGACCACCAGGAAATACTATGTTTTCTGATGTTCTTTGGCGACCCCTTTGACACCCCCTCACGACCCCCTCAGGGGTCCCAACCCCCAGGTTGAGAAACACTGATCTAGGGTATAGGGTGGCAACCTGTTAGATGGGATTACATTCCCCCTGAAGAAGCAGGTCTGCAGTCTGGGAGTCCTTCTGGACTCAACGCTAAGCCTGGAGGTCCAGGTGTTGGTGGTGGCCAGGAGGGCCTTTGCACAATTAAACTTGTGCATCAGCTGCAATTGTACCTTGAGAAACTGGACTTGGCCATGGTGGTCCATGCATTGGTTACATCCCATCTAGCCTGCTATAACAGGCTCTACGTCGGGCTGCCTCTGAAAAGTGCCCGCAAACTTCAATTCATCCAAAGAGCTGCATACAAACTACTTACAGGTGCTGGACCCAGGGAACGTACATCTCTGTTACAGCACCTGCACTAGCTTCCAATTTGTTTCCGAGCCCAATTCAAAATGCTGGTTTTTAACCTTTACACCCATAAATGGTTCAGGTCCAACTTGCTTATTTGACCGCATCTCCTCATGCCAACCAGCCTGCTCTTTAAGATCTTCTGGGGAAGCCCTACTCTCACTTCCACCATCGTCACAAATGCAACTGACATCGACAAGTGAGAGGGCATATTTGTTGGCCTTACCCTCTGGAACACCCTCCCAAAAGAAATTAAAACAGCTCCCTCCCTTTCTTCTTTCAAGAACCAATTAAAAACTTTCCTGTTTGGACAAGCTTTTAGTGAAGAAGTGACAGGAAATCTCATATGCTATGGGCTGGAGCATATGGAGTGACAGGAAATCTCATATGCTATGGGCTGGAGCAAAATGCAATATATCTCGGTATGATGTCACATGAATGTGAATGTACATTGTAGCTGGTTCTTAAATGTGTTTATTTTATGATGTTTATGTTTATTAAAGATGCATTCTGATTGGTGTTTATGTGATTTTAAAATGTTGTGAGCAACTTTGGGTCCCATGAGAAAAGTGGGATATAAATAATGATTTATTATTATCATCTAGAAATTTCTAAAGAGGTGTTATTTCAGTTTTTTAATAGCATTTTTTAATTCACGGTTTTTCCATTTCTATGGGAGACCTGTGCCCTTAACCCCAGCAAATATGGAGAACTAAATATAGAATGTTATAGAAAGACAAAGCAATAACAACCAATTCAATTTGTACTATTTTAAATGGTTTTTAATCTAATGTTAATGTTTTACTTATTATGTAACTGTTGTTTTATCTGTTGTCTATGTGGGGTATTGAATTGTTGCTGTCTGTAAGCCGTCCTGAGGCGTAGAGAAGGGCGTGGTGCAAATATTGAAATAAATAAATAAACAAATAATACCAAACATCATTTTTCATATTGCCATTATTACAACTGTTCTCTTTTAAGAACAAGACAGGAGATTCCATCTGAACACGAGGAGGAACTTCCTGACTGTGAGAGCCGTTCAGCAGTGGAACTCTCTGCCCCGGTGTGGTGGAGGCTCCTTCTTTGGAAGCTTTTAAACAGAGGCTGGATGGCCATCTGTCAGGGGTGATTTGAATGCAATATTCCTGCTTCTTGGCAGGGGGTTGGACTAGAAGGCCCATGAGGTCTCTTCCAACACTTTGATTCTATGATTTAGGTGCAATAATAATAATAATAATAATAATAATAATAATAATTCTTACTGCTGTTGTTATTACATTTACATCTGACCTTTGTCCCATTGCAAGGTGGCTTATTCAACTTGAATGAAATACAGTTCCAAGCACGTAAAAACATATCAAAGTTTACTGTTGAAATTCAGTTAAACTCTCCATAGAATTGGAATTATTTAAACCAAATCCATTAAAAAGATAAAAGGCAATTAAATATCACACTGTTAAAGGTTCTTGCAGTCAGTGCCTAAAAGCTGATCAGAATACCAATTTGTCACTTGCTGACAGAAAGACAGCAAAAAGGAAGTCTCCCTGGGAACATCCATTGGGCAGCCTCTCTTGTGTTTCTCATGTTTGTGAATGTAGAGGGAGGAGGACCCTCCCCTGAAGACAGAGGACTGGAGGATAAGTATGAATGGACCTGAAAATGAAAGAAACTCCTGGCGATATTTCATGAATTGTTTCAAGGTACTTTAAGTGCAACTAAGCCACAGTGTTCCATCTCCCAGGAGCCTGATTTGCCTTACTTTATAGTTGCTTGAGGTTGCTTCCTCTTGCATTTTCTCCCAGGGCTACTGCATCTTTGCAAGAGTCCTAAAAGTTAATAGTATCAGAGTCTGCAGGCGTCTTTGCAACTATTGGCTTAGAGAGCAGCTCTTTGAGTTTAGGCACCACCTTTTCTCCCAGGGAAAGATCTCCATTTTAGATTCTCCCCTGCCTTTTCAGTTAGAGGAAAGATTTGATGTGCTGATGGCTAAGCAGTTAGCTCTGGGAAAACCATTGCAAAAACTACTCTATAGATAAGTATTAAGCTAAACTGAGTAAGCTATATTGAGTTAGTATAGATAGTATATGGTGTATTGAGCTGTATTGAGATATTATAGATGGCTGTACGGTTCCGGTCCAGCATATCTGTCCGAACGCATCTCCCTCTACGTCCCACCCGGAGTCTGAGATCATCTGGGGAGGCCCTGCTCTCGACCCCACCACTGTCACAAGTGAGGCTGGTGGGGACGAGGAGCAGGGCTTTCTCAGTGGTGGCCCCTCACCTGTGGAACTCACTCCCGGGGGAAATCAGGGCATCAACATCCCTCCTCTCCTTCAGGAGGAAGTTAAAGACGTGGTTGTGGGACCAGGCCTTTGGGCAATCTGACAACTAGATAAGGACAATCAAACGACTAGGACTGACAGGACTGACAATGTGGAATTGGAAATTGGACTATGAGATGGCGAATGCTGTGCGTTAATTGTGTGAAATCGGGTTTTATTGGTTTTATTGGTTTTATAGTTGTAATGCAGAAAATGATTGCTAATTGTTTAACTGCTGCTATATTGTTTTTATTCTATTGTTATGTTGATGCCGGCATCAAATTGTGCCTTT